AAAGAGATGATTGAGCTGATTCAATCTGATGAACTTGACCTATGCATAGGAATGCAGTGACTCAAGAGAGGCACAAATCCTTACAGCAAGAAACATTCCCACCCCCTCCACACACAAAGTGGACAAAGATGGGCAACTTGGACATTGGATACCCAAATGGGGAAAGAGGGACTACAAAGGCAAGAAGTGACTGGCTTACAAGCTTTCAAGAGGGAACCTAGAGCTAGGGCGCATGGAGGAAGGCAGAATCACCAGTGAGTACTATCCAATTTGTCTAGGTGGAGCTGATGAAATGAAATACAGACGGGTTACGCACGATACTGTAGCGAATAATGGTTATCAGGATGGATTGTGAGTGTTGGAAATGCAAAGGTGGACATTTTGTGGCAAGGAAGGGAGCGACTGTTTCTCCAGTCTAGGAGCAGAGGTCTCTGGAACCACCAACGGAGAAGAGCTGAGAGCGGGACCCTACCCAGAGAAGCAGGGATGACATGGAGGGATGGAGCAGCTGGGGACTTTGGATCCAGAGAGGGAGAGGGACTGTGGGCCGAAGACTGGGGGGCGGGGGGAAGTGCAGAGGATGGGCTTCCAGGATATGCCCTTTGGTTGGGAGATGATGCATGGAGGGGATTGGAACCATGGCAATGTAATGATACGCTATGGAATGAATGTAAAACTAGAGTTCTCTCATGTAAACTATCATATAATTCACAATAAAACATTGAAAAAAATTAATATTACAAAACACTAGGGTGTAAATGCGAGAAAGTCCAGAAAGCTATGGTTTGATCCCCGTGATGACAGCTCTATTAATTTACCTAACTTTTTGAATTTTGAATTCTCCCCCCAATATTGGTTATACCTGCTGTAGTGTGTGTCCCATCCAGAGCCCTTGCTGAGTTATTTTGGGGTCAGTGAGTGGACAGGGAGATCCAGAATCTACCTGCTGGAGGAGAGGAGAAGGCCAATGATCTTTTTACTGAGGGGTTCCAGCCTGCACACGGCGGGGCAGTTGCAGGAAGCTTTTGCTTAATTGCAGGAAGGGGATAGGGGATTCGTTCAGCAGCCCACCACTAAACAAAACTGAAACAGGTAGTGCTTCTCCTTCATGCCATTCATGCCAAGCTTGTCAACTCTTGTTCACATCAAAACCCAATGGGATGGGTGCAGCTGTATCCCCATTGTACAGATAGGGAAAGCAAAGTCCGGAATAGTTAAGTAACCAGCAAAGAAGTGTTGCCATTGGGAATCAAGTCCTGTCATCTGGCTCCAGAGTGCCCTCTATGCTGCCCTGACCTCCATGCAGTCATGCCAGGACCCTCCACCCTCCCGGCCCCCTACTCCTGAGTAACCACCCGCCCCTTCTTCCCTATGCCCCTCCTTTCCCCATCAGACCTGTCCTTAATCACAGACTCCCAAGTCAGGGCCTGAGCAGTGGATGACATGCCTATGTCCCCCAAAGCACAAAGCTAGAAAGAACCAGATGCAAAAAAAAGACAAAAAACAAAACACCCGAAATATTTATGAAGCGTCCACCACGTGCTAAGATTGTTTCAGGTATAGGAAACCCAAAGGGACAGGACCCAGTCGCTGCGCCAGCGGAGAGCACAGGTCACAGACCCAGGAGGTGGAAGGACAATAAGCAGGAAAACCAAGGAACAAGACATTTTTAAATTTCAGTGTAAGGTGCTCTAGAGAAAACCAGGTAAAGTAAAAGGCATGAAGGGGCAGGCGGAACCGGAAGACCTCGCCTAGCAGATGCACATACACAAAAAAGGATGCTGTCCGGCGTCCTAACCTCGTTTTATAGGGAACTTTATGGTAAGGCGTCCTGGTGTGGGTGGTCCTGGATCGCAAGGTCGGTGGTTCAGAGTCACTAGTTGCTCCTCGGAAATCCTATACAGGGTATCTGTGAGTCGAAACCGACTCGACGGCACTTAACAGTGGTAAGGGCAGGGACAGCAGGGAGAAGAGGGCGGCTAGGTATTTTTCTCCCCAAGGAACAGAAGAGGGTACCTGGGCAGGGGCATGCTAAACAGTCCGCTCAGATTCGCCCCATGGATCGAACTCCTATCGCTAACTGCTAGACGTAAATCTCCCAGCAAGGGGCGGGGACCCTGGGGCGGGGCCGTTCCCACTCCCGCCCCTTCCCGGAGCGCCGAGTACAGCCCAGGGGCAGGGGCGCGTCGTAACCTATTGACCCTGATTTCGGAGGAGGGGCTCCAACAATGCTAACTAAGCAAGCACGCGAGTAATGAAAGGCGGCCGCGATTGGCTGTCCCATAGAATGGAGCTCCGCCGGCCTGTGCGCGCGCCTAGGGTAGGCGTTGCCGAAGGAAGAGCGGGAAGGGGCGTGGCCGCGTGCCGGCGGCCGTTGGCAGCGCGGCCCCGCCCCAGATATCTCGCGTCGCTGGTCGGGCGGCGGCGATTGGTCGATGCGGAGTGGGGGGCGGGGCGGAAGGTTCTGGAGGGGGCTGGCGGGCTCTGGAAGCTTCCGCCGGACGGGTATATAGAGTCCCGGACCGGGTGGCGGCGGAGCCGGGGGGACGGCGAGAACGGGGCGGCGGGCCGCGGGTGGGGGCCATGGGTAAGGACTACTACCAGACGCTGGGCCTGGCTCGCGGCGCGTCAGACGAGGAGATCAAGCGGGCCTACCGCCGCCAGGCGCTGCGCTACCACCCGGACAAGAACAAGGAGCCCGGCGCCGAGGAGAAGTTCAAGGAGATCGCCGAGGCCTACGACGTGCTCAGCGACCCGCGCAAGCGCGAGATCTTCGACCGCTACGGGGAAGAAGGTGCGTGCGCGTGCGGCGGGGGCGCGCCCCCGCCGTTTGACAGGCGGGGAAACTGAGGCCGGGCGGCGCGACTGCAGCATCCTCCGGGGCCGCCCCTGCGCGGAGGGCGAGCTGCCCCCGCCGTCTGCCCACGCGGGCCTCCGCCCTCGGATTGACGGCCTCCGGATGGGAGGAGGAGCCCTGGCCGCGCAGTTCGCGCAGAAGGTTCTAGCATGTCTGGGCTGCCCCTCCCTGGGCTCTACCACCCACGTCCCGGGTGGCCGGGGTGATGGGTGGTCGGGGTGATGGGTGGCCGGTGCGGACGGAGACCGAGCGCAGTGTTGGCTCACCTGAGCCCACCTGAGCCCACCTGCACTGGCCGGGCCTAACATTACGCATCAGCTCGTTCGCGCTCCGCGCAGACCCGCGGGTAGTGGGACCCAGCCCCTGCGGACTCGGGTTGGCACACGTCCCACTCCCGGCCCCGTGAGGGTGGGGTGAGCTAATCCTTGTGAAGTGCTTACCTAGCCGTGCCAGGCACGTAGGAAACAGCCGGGCCCTGGGGAGAAACGCTTCCCAGGAGGTAGATGGGTGCGGGGAACTACACGAGTGCGCTGCGCACTGCGTGGAGAGGGAGAGGACACAACTCAGAAAGAACGGTGGGGAACGCTGGAGGAATGGAAACGGAGAACGGGGGAGTGAGTGAGGTGCAGTCATGAGAAGATGTAAAACTGAAGGTCTACTTGCTGTGTAAACCTGTCACTCAATGGCCAATGAAAAGTTAAAAAAAAAAAAAAGAAGGAAAGAAAGGCTTTCTTATTCGTAGTTGCCTGTTGCTGACTCAACTTGGTTTCTGGACTCTTCTCAAGGTGCCAAATGACTGTACACAACATGTGGCAACTAATGCCAGGGTGTGGTGATGATGATTCGAAAAATGTGTTTACGTTGTACCTCCCGCTTCTATCCTCCTCTCCCATCATTAGCATCCCAAACCTAAAACCTGTTGTCATGGAGACACAGCCGAACTGTCCCATAGGGTTTCTGAGGCTGTAAGTCTTTACAGACGCCAACTACATTATTTTTTTCCCACAGAGTGGCTGGTGGGTTTGAACTGCTGAACTTTTATTTAGCAGCCAATTGCATTTAACCATTGCGCCACCATGCCTTTGATTATCAACACTTGCCCTGAAGTTGCTAAGTGCTGTGGAGCTGATTCCAACTCATAGTGACCCTGTATAGGGTTTCTGAGGAGTGGCTTGTGGGCTTCAAGTGCTGACCTTGTGGATAACAGTCCAGTGCTTATCATACAGCGCCACACCAGGACTCCGTTATCCATAAAGTATTAAGAGTAAACACTCACTGAAAGTTTATCTTGAATCTTACCTTTTTCATCCATCTCTTGGTGAGTCCTTGTAACATTTTGGGGAGGATGGACTAGCCAAGAAGCAGCAGGGCCTGGTGGCATCTCAAGATAACCCAATGTTGGCATGTCACGCTGCCACACTTAAGAGAGTCAGTCTGTGCTGTTGTATCTGGAGGCAAAAGCTTAGGGCTCTTCCCTGACAGGCTTATTAACACCTCTGCTCTCCCCGCAGCCCCCACGAATTCCCAAGGTTTTGCCCCTTAAGAAAAGTTCCTAGAGGAAGAAGCTCCTGACTAGCTATTTGACAACTTTTCATTTTCCCTTTCAGGCCTAAAGGGTAGTGGTCCCAGTGTTGGGAACACCGGTGGTGCTAACGGGACCTCTTTCAGCTACACATTCCATGGAGACCCTCATGCTATGTTTGCTGAGTTCTTTGGTGGCCGAAATCCCTTTGATAACTTTTTTGGGCAGCGGAACGGGGAAGAAGGCATGGACATCGATGACCCATTCTCAGCCTTCCCCATGGGCATGGGTGGCTTCCCCAACATGAACTTTAGCCGTTCCCGCCCCACCCAGGAGCCCACCCGAAAGAAACAAGATCCCCCTGTCACCCATGACCTTAGGGTCTCGCTTGAAGAGATCTACAGCGGTTGTACCAAAAAGATGAAAATCTCCCACAAGCGGCTGAATCCGGACGGAAAGAGCATTCGCAATGAAGACAAAATCTTGACTATCGAAGTAAAGAGGGGGTGGAAAGAAGGGACCAAAATCACCTTCCCCAAGGAAGGAGACCAGACCTCCAACAACATTCCAGCTGACATCGTCTTTGTTTTAAAGGACAAGCCACACAATATCTTTAAAAGAGATGGCTCAGATGTCGTTTACCCAGCCAGGATCAGCCTTCGGGAGGTAAAGTGCCGGGCAGGATGGGAGAGGGCTGCCTTTTGAGGCAGTATTTGGAGAGATAATTAGAAGGCTAGATGTGGGCCAGGCTCGAGATGCAACATGACAAGGATGCTGTGCTTGCCAAGCTTCCAAGCTGGTCACCTGGTAGATTTGGGACCAGGTCTTAGCTGCAGAGGAAGATGAGTTCCTCAAAGTAAACAGCTTTTAGGAGTTGAGCTGCTGCTTAAGCTATATGCCATCTAATGCTGTCCTTTTGTTTTCCAAGGCTCTGTGTGGCTGCACAGTGAATGTCCCCACTCTGGACGGCCGGACCATACCCGTCGTGTTCAAAGACGTCATCAGGCCTGGCATGCGGCGAAAAGTTCCTGGAGAAGGCCTCCCCCTCCCCAAGACGCCCGAGAAACGTGGGGACCTTATTATTGAGTTTGAAGTGATCTTCCCAGAAAGGATTCCCCAAACATCAAGAACCGTACTTGAGCAGGTTCTTCCAATATAGCGTCCTGCACTCCCCAAGGACTGACCAGGGACCTTTCAGAGCTCAAGGATTTCCAGATCGTTCCACCAGTTGTGGGCCCACAAAAGGGCGGGAGGGCTCTCATACTGCTGAATGTTTTCCAGAGAATATATTACAATCTTTCAAAGTCATGCACTAAGACTTAAGTGATTTTTCGAGCGATAGGGCGGCAGGTGGTGGGGACAGCAGGAACCAGGTACTCCAGTCTCCCTATCTGGGTCCTATAGCCCCTCCCCCTCCCGCTCAGTCCCTGCCCAGGGGCAAGAGTCCAGCCTACAGCTGGACCTGAACATCTAGTTCCTCTGCTTTCTTCCGGCTTTTGTGCTGTCTTGGTTACCAGATCCTGGACACTCCTCAGCATCTGTTCTCTGTTTTATTCTGTGTTGCCTCCCACGTCTTGCTCTTCCCCTACAGAATCCTGTCTTTTCTGCCATCTCAAATTGAGAGCCTAGATCATTTCTGCAGAACTGCCTAGCCGGCACCCACAAGCAATACCTCTCGTTCCAGCAGCAGGACCAAGGGAGCCATCACACCAACGATGGGCACCACAGCCACCCTGGCACCAGTGAGGTTCCACCCCTTCAATTAGGAGTCACTTCCCTCTTTGTGTAAGGCAATCTTTTGACACACCTGACATCACAGCAACCCTGGGAACCTTTTTCTGTCCCCGTCTGAACTAATGGACTCTGGACTCTTTCAAAGGGATCTGATCCTTTTGAATATTACACAGCCCTAGATATAATCCCTTTTGATAAAAGGGTCTTCGCTTCTGATGACAGGAGCACTGTGGAACGTCTGTAAATATGTTTTTATAATTCCGTATAAAGGTGGCGTGCACGCAAACGAAGCCAGTCCAGGACAGCCGCTGCTTGCTGTACAGGGCCATATGGGAGTCTGGAAGAAACATCAGGGGGTGGGGAGGTGGAGCTGGAGCAGGTGTCTGTCCCCTGGAGGCCAGTCTGGTGCTCAGCCATGTAGACTCATTGTAAGTTGCCACTGCCAATCCAAGACTAAAAAGCCTGTGACTTGTCAATGTGCAGCGCGAAGGCATTAAACACTGATTCGAAACCTCGGCGGAGCGGTCCTGCGACTCTGTTTGAGGGGTCGGCTGGCTTGGGGTGGGGCTGGAGGGAGCAGTCGCTTCTGTAACATGGGAGGAAGGCAGGCCAAAGGAATCTCCGTGACCATGGTGATCCAGACATGCTAGGAGGCCCTAGTGCCTTACATTCAAGTTGCATTTTTGGTCAAGGTCGGGGGGGGGGAGAGGGCCCAGGGTGAAGGGGAGAGAACTGAGCATCCAGTTTCCCTTCCTGTCTTGGTCCTGACTTCCTCCAACCTGGTGATGGGATTGAAGTCAAAAGGAGATGCATACAGTGTTGTTCCTGTCCCCTCCTGTCTTGCTGGAGCAGGCTGGGTATTTGGCAGGCTTGGCCCAACCAGAGCTAGAGGCAGCCCAGTGTACCCTACTCTGGAGAAAACCCACTTTGTGCTGTGACTTTCAGAACTTGCTTTTTAATTGTAAGGTGTAACTGATTACACAGACTTGAGATAGTATACATAATGTTCCTTTGCTATGAAATGTTTTAAAGTGAAAAATTTAATTCACTGTCTATTCAAGTCAACTTTGTTGTTACGTTATGGGTTCCGACCCATAGCGACCCTGTGTAGGGTTTCTAAGGAGTGACTGACTGGTGAGCTTGAACCGCCGACCTTGCGCAAGTCAACTTAGGAGGTCCCAAACCTCTGAAAACTGTCTATTGAATAGAAGTTTCTATGGCTACAGGGCATAGTCTATATGATTTGTGTTCTTTTAGATTCAATAAAATTCAAAATTGTGTTCCTTCATTGCATTAGCCACACTTCAGTTGCGTGTCAGCCACATGTGGCTAGTTCTGACTATTGGACAATGCAGATGTAGGGGGTTTTTTCCTTAAAAAGTCGAGAGCCATGTTAACCTTGGGGGACAGTTCATTGGTAGGCTTCTCACCTTCCTGGCTTGAGACCAGGATTCAATTCTTAACCAATACGGAGGCTTACATTTTACTATGATGCTAAACAGGTTTCAGTGAAGCTTTCACACTAACCTGAACTCAGAAGAAGGTCTGGCAGTCTACCTCTGAAAATCAGCCATGAAAACCCTATGGATGACAACAGCCTAGTTCATAACTATAATCAGGAAACGGCAGCGTTTTCTTCCCTTGCACATAAGATCCTCATGAGTCAATGGCAGCTAACAATATGGCCCTAGACTATCAGAGCCATAACTTACTGAAAGCAAGTTCACAATGCCCTTGGGCTGTGGCCTGGCCTCAGCTGGGTCTCAGGTCCTCAAGTCTTTAGTGGGGTCCCTGTGAACTTCATAGTGAAGCCACAAACAGAAACATGCACACACAATTCAGGGGATTTCCACACTATGCCAAGCAACATCCTCTGGGTTGGAGGTGAGAGCAGAGGTGATATATGGGGAGGGGGCAAGGAGTTATGGTAAAAAAAAAAAAACACACAAAGACAGGACTTGGACTGGGAGTGCCTCTGAATGCTCAGGGTTCTGTCCAGGGGCCACCACTAGACACAATTGTCGGCCTCCAGGTCTTTGGTGCCTAAATGAGCCTGGCCATCCTAAAGGTGCCTGTAATGGATTTGTGTTCATTTTACCATGCCACCTCTGAGCACGTCTCGGAGTGCCTTCCATGTGACTACATTTGCCAACACCCATAATCATTATACTATCAGTTTTATTTTTACATAACTTGAACGTGGTACAAAGCTGGAAAGACTCAGTATCGGGGGTTTTAGTTTTACATTCCACCAGTCATATACTTTGTTTCCTCTCAGTGATTGCAGCTCCCTCCCTGTAACAACAGTTAGCCCTGCCCACCCCTGCTTCCGACCTGTGATTCCTATTTCCATACCACCCTCCTTTCCAGCCCTTCTCAACTTTGTCCTTCCATAAATGTTGTCCTTTTGAATTTGAATGACTGACCTTAGTGTTGTTGTCCCCCTATATACCCTATCTATGGTTTAACTGAAAACCTAGCCATGAGAGTGAGTTACTTTCTAGACCAGAAATGTTGTCAATGACCATAATGTTACCTTCCTCCAGTCCCGCTCTGATCAGTAATCCCTATCTTTTTTTTATAATCACAATTTTTATTTTAAATGAATCTTCTAAGAAAGAAAGTCCAGTCATGTAAGCACCAACATCATTTTTAAAGTTTCAGATTCCTTTTTTGGATGTGTAAAAGGGGCTCTGGTAGCGTAGTGGTTACGAATCGGACTGCAAACTGCAAGGTCAGCAGTTCGAAACTACCAGCTGTTCCCGCGGGAGAAAGATGAGGCTTTCTGCGCCTGTAAAGATTTACAGCTTCAGAAACCCTGTACAGGGTCGCTATGGGCTGGAACCAACTCTACGGCACTTAACAACAACAATCACAATACAAGCATACACACAGTGAAAATCCCGCGTCCCTCCATGATACTTGGTTCAACCCTTACATCTCTGTTGTTGTTAGATGCCCTCCACTCAAGTTCAACTCACAGCAACCCTATTAGCAACAGAAGGAAACCCTGCCTGGTCTTATTCCTCTACCAATCATAGTGTCCTCCAGGGATTGGCCCTGCTGATAACATGTCTAAAGTGACACAAAATGTCGCTCACAAAGTCTCTCTTCTAAGCAGCATTCTGGTTGTGCTTCTTCTAAGACAGTTTGCTTTGTTCTTCTGGAAGTCCCTCATATATTCAATATCCTTTGCCAATACCATAATTCAAAGGCATCAATTCTTTGGTCTTCCTTATTCATTGTTTAGCTTTCACATGCATATGAAAATAGGTGTGCTCAGGTTAGGCACACCTTAGTCCTCAAAGTGACATCTTTGCTTTTGAAAACTTTAAAGAGGCCTTTTGCAGTAGCCTTGTCCACTGTAATAATATCCTTTGATAGCTTTAATGCTGCTTCCAGCAATGGTTGTGGATCCAAGTAAAATGCAATCCTTGACAACCTCATATTTTTCTGTGTTTACCATGATGTTTCTTATTGGTCCACTTAGGATTTTTGTTTTATGTTGAGGTGTAACTTGTACTGAAGACTGTAATCTTTGATCTTCATCAATAAGTGCTTCATGTCTCCTTAGTTTTGTTTTGTTTTTCCTTAGTTTTTAAGCAAGCAAGATTGTGTCACCTGTATAGCACAAGTTGTTTATGAGTCTTCCTCCAATCATAGAGATCAGCTTTTGGGGTTATTTGCTCAGCATCCAGACTAAATTGTTGTTGTTGTCAGGTGCCATCGAGTCGGAACCGACTCATAGCGACCCCATGCACAGCAGAACGAAACAATGTCTGATCCTG